ACCGCTCGTTCACTGAACTACCTGACCGATCGCATATATTCGTGTCTCTTCCGCGCCGATTCCCGCGAATACTCCGATCATTCTTCGGCACGCCATCCGTTATTCGAAAACGCTGGCAGTTTTAGCGTGGTTGTCATCGAACTTGAATGTAGATCATAATGTCACCTTGATAGCAGATTCTAAATTTTTATGCCTACTTATAGCGATTTGACAAGCACTTTTCTCTGAATTATGTTTTAATTCTTTCTATAATATTCTTTAAGGTATACTTGAATATATCATATTAATTTAGTCCCTAGAAAAGACATAACGATTTTAAACTATTACATATATAAATTGCACTCTTACATTCACATAATTATACATATATGCGTGCATGTAACAATACTTTTTTTATAGCACTGAGTTATAATAATGTATTACAAAATAGTACATTTTTTATGTATTTTATAATATGTTATAAATAATAATATATTCATTGTACGTGGGCAAAGGATCCAATTGCAATTTTATAACGGTTTCATGTACTTGTTTTTCTGTTGTGTCCAAAAGTCGTTATGTCTTTATCTTGCATGCTTCCTTATTCCAGAAAATACCCACGCGTTATTAGCATATCTTATGCATTACCACGATACCTTACCTTTCTGGACAGCTGTCTGCTTTAATATAACTTGTTTACTTGTTATGCATAATATAGAATACGTGCTCTTATATCATATGATATCGATCGATCATTCAGCATACATTCATTCGCACATATTGATTGTTTTGCTCCAGCCTTCTCGTTCTCTAGTAAGTCGCTATTTATAAAATGCATTATTCTATCTATCTTTGCGACTGATCTGTAACGCTGAGTGATTTCTACATCTTACTTTACTACGCACTATCTAATCCAGTATTAAGTTTCTGCTTATCTCAATTACCGGTTTTAATTACTCTATAGTTTATTACTATGTACATTTTCTGCATATACTTCTATACCACTTAAGTGTGTAACCACTTAACAATATGACATGAGTGTACACTTAAAACGAATGTAATTCCTTTTTTTAAACACATTACGTAACATAAACTCATATTATATATAGTCGTATTCTGTTCTTTCCGTTTCCGTATCGAATGACATCAATCTTGAGTACTTCGAAGATATTAATATCATTGGTACTGAAATCACGGTAAATAATCTCTATTGCAAACTATGGCGACTTGAATCGCCATTGACAAATATATAGTCATGAAACGAAAGCGAGATCGATACTTTCGATCGCGATATGTGCATTTGATGCTTCATAACGACCGTGCTCATAAAGAGACGATTCGATTTGGTGTGCCACTATCAATGATTTGTTGCGCATTTCTGGCACGGCGAGGAATAAACTGGAACGCGCTCGGCATTTATCTGGCGGACACACGACGTTCCCCTGGCACATCGAACTCTCATTATTACTAGATGCTTCCATCACAAGTTTCCGTGCCGTTCGTGTCTCTATCCGTCCATTTGCGCGTAATCCAAGCTAAATTTATGTACTCTCTCGAAGCATTCCGTATGCTGTTGACTCCAATCTTCTCACCCTTAAGCTAACGCTCTAGTACCACTTTCTTACCGGGTCGAAAGTGGCTGTTTAGCGTCTTTATGGCTTCTCACTGCCTAGAAATCGTAGTGTGCCTGTGGCTATATCGCTTCACGCTCCCGAATTTATCAACCGCCGTATTAGCACGGCACGATCACCTATCGTGTATTCTCATTTGCTAATTATTGTACGTGTTTTTCCATTTACTTTATCTTTCTGTATAATTTAATCCTCATGCAATACATTCCTTTGACAAGATACAGAAAAATAATAGAAAGGAAATTGTTTAATGGAAGTGGAAAAATCGAGTGACATTACAATTGTATTGTATTTACGTAATTTTGTAATTGCAAAAAAATTGCAGTTTGTTCAATTTTTGAAGAAAATTAATTCGCGTTACGATTTAGCAACGTCACGATCGCGCGGACATCATTCTTACTTCACGGATGGTTGAAACTCGACTGAACGATTACATGCTTCACGGTGGTATCCTGTCGAAGCATGTAACCAGTATTGGCTCGACAGAGACCGTAGGTTACGGAAAGATCCTCGGGGCTAATGATCCATCACCTCCTGATTCTAAAGTCCGAAGTGGCTACTTAACGACTTTACGGCTGCTTGCTACCCAGGAACGCCCACGTGCCACAGGTAAACCTCGCCGACGCGCCTGCGAATTGATCAACCGGTCTATTAATAGAGCGGGGCGCTACCTGCGATCTTCCGGAACGATATGATCCTACCAGTTTTCGAGAAAGGAGTGCCTAAAAGCTAACGACTTCCGTTCACTAGATTGAATGACGAAATGATTTTATTATTTTTATCGAACTTTTATGCGCAGAATATAATTTTATATTCATTTCGAAAATTTTTAATTTTCGATGTAAGAAATCTGCTTTTTAAATGAGATGTAATATGAATAAATATTATTCTCTCAATTACAATATATATTCAATATAAATGAAAAATTTTACTATAATTTGTAGTTAAAGATTAACTTTCCAAAGGCTCAACGAATTATCAATTTCAATAAGGATAATAAATAATGGTAAAGTGCCTAGCATGATGTAGGTGCTCAAATAATTATATATTTGTATATTACAATTTCCAAACGTTTTGGTTCTCACAGAACCATCTTCAGTGAACAATAAACTTACAAATTCATTAATCTTCTAAATTCCTACTCGTACAATGCAGTCTTGTTTTATGCATCGGTTAGATTACAATTTTTTGTAACTCCTCTTATTGTCGGATTTTATTTGGAAGTCCATGGTATGTGGAAATAAGTTAGGTGAAATTAACTTAAAATTATGAAATATAAAATGATATATTGTCAACTTGAAAGATATTGTTAGATAGATATTGTTAGTTCGATAGGCAAAGTTGGAATATAATTAGTAGTAGGGTAGTAGTAGACAATTTTCCAGTCATGAACATGTAATTTCTATGTAAAATTACATGCATTTTTTTCAGTGTAGGTTTCGACACATTAATGGTATAAAATCCACTTAAACGTTTGACTCAATTGATTGATGAAAGATTTGACATCAATTTATTACACATGTAACATAAAGAGAATTAAAGCGATATTTCACTAAAAAGTATAAATCGCTATTCATAAAATATTATTTCATTTGTTTATATTTTATTATAATTACACTATATATCTAATGAAATGACATTAAATACTTGTCAGATGTTTAAATGATTTTTATGCGTTTATAAATTATAAAAGAGGAAGAAAGAAAAATTTAGTGGACATTATATTTTCTTAGGACGATTCATTTAACATCTTCGGATTCCATGCGGCGGCAGGAATGTCGGCGTTTCAAGTCGAAAACGTTAAACCATAGAAAGTACATAAGATAGAGGAAGAGAGAGACAGGGAGGGGAGGGTAGCAAAATGGAGAAGAAAAAGACAATGACATAGTACCTACCTTCGTAGGAATCTCGTGTCATCTACCAAGTTCTTCTCTCCTTCTACTTCTGAATCATCGTTCTTTGTCTTCTCTCAGGATCTTTTGTGACTCCTCTTATTGTCGGGTACCATGGGTAACCAACCGCAAATTGCCAATCTTTCGACTCCAATACGAAACGAATTCTAGATAGTATTTAACGGAATGTGTTCTTTTTTTTCATTATTTGAATGGTGGCTATTATGACGCAATGGCTTCGATATATTCATATTTAAAGTTATATCTTATAATTTTTAAAACTTTATATAGTATTGTGACTGTTTAATATTACTATGTGAAAATACAAATTGTCGCAATTTCAAAATAAATATTGTAATAAGTGTTTCGACTATTTATTTTTTAATTCCCTTCTCGTAATGGAATGGTTTAAAATCGGAAGAAAATCGATCATCGCTAAAGTTTATTTAGTTTTCTTTTGCTCTGAATCATGAACTTTATTTACATTTATTCTTTTATATAGTTTTTGTGTAAATGGATGGATGGTTGATAGTTCTATCTTATCGCATCCTCTCTCTATTAACTTAAGTGACATAAGAATATACGTCTTATGCATTGTTATCTATTGTTATCTTGCAACCTATGCGCTTTTAACATTTATTTTTTCTTCTTTGCTTTGAACAGTACCGATCCAATCAAATTATATAGTAACATTAAACCGGAATTCGTTGATTTACGGCTAATAATAGTACATATATCTTATATCGAGTCTTCTAATTACCATCAAATATTATACAGTCCGGTAAAGACCATAACAACGTTTAAGAGTACATTATTGAAATTATTTTAAGACGAAAATTCTAATACTAAAATGTCGACAATATAATAATTTTTTAATTATAAACATTTAAAGTTAGTGAATCGCTTAACTTAAACATTTAAAGTTTGCGCGTTTAGGTGTGGTTGGCATTTTGCGTTCTATCACATTTGAACGAGCGAATTTTAAGCGATACAATTCGCTATTTTAAATGCTTATAATTAAAAAACTATTATAGCCTCGACATTTTGCTATTAGAATTTTCGTCTTAAAACTATCTCAGCAAACTATCCTTAAGCGTTGTTACGAGATTTTACCGGACACCCTGTATATATAATGTGTATTAAAAATCGTATAATCAATACAATAACTATAATGATTTACACAGAAAGTACGTGATGCAAATGATTAAGACTTTGATGCGGAGTTCGATTCTACAACGGTCGTCAAATTTGATATTCTATTATCACTGCTCTTTAACATCGGTAATTATTTCGTATGATGGAGTCAGAAACTCTTTAATAGAATTTAAGAATCAATTGTAATAACTCGCGAGATTGATAGAAGTACAGATAATACGTGAGGACATTAGAGAAATATAATTCTAAATGTGTTACACGGAATCTTTGCCAAAGGTTAAACGGTGCGGAATGACGTTTCGCATTATTCGTCAAGCTGACCAAGATTCTTTCTTGTCTGCAGGATGGTGCGCTTCCTGATGTTCGCCGTAATTGTACGACGGTGGACGGGGTCGATACGGCCGTAAACCCGATCAGCTGGAAGGAGATTCGAAGCCGGTGAGTCCAACGGCACCTGCTTATTGTGCTTATTCATTCGGGATGCGGCTATTCGCCCGTGTACAATGTGACTTAATGGAACCCATAAAGACCTTTAACATTACTATGAAATCTATCGCTGTAGTCTGACTGCAGACCAATACGACTTATCAGCGATGCTTCCCTTAGCGATACACCTTTACATAGCATGTTCGCGAGTTCAACACGTATCCATTATATCGAGTCGTTGTCTGCATAACTATACAAGCGTATTTCAATTGAAATCATGTTGACGGGTAATCATATAATAGCACTTTTTCACGTTAGAAATTCGCATTTCTCGTTACAATTGTCAAATGGATTCTAAAATCTACCATATTTTTTAGTTATCTCATATTTCTCCTCCCTGTTTTTATTATCTAACAGAAAATATTAATATCTGACTATTGAAGTGTTAAGGCAATCATTTTCGTTCCGTGAAAGGAATTGTGGTGAAGAATCTATGATATCTCGCTTCTGTACTACCGCGATATGCTATCAAAATAATTTATATTTCGCTCGTACAACTCAAGATTGGCTTTTACGGGCGATCGATTGCCTCGCCCGAGTCGTTCGCTTGACAATACGAATATGAGATTACTCAAGCTGGCCAGCACGAAAAATAGGATTTGCTTAGAGTCTCGCACGTGGCAGCATAAACGACAGGGGAGAAAAAGCTCGCCACATACTTGACTCGATGTTCGATCTGACAAAAGTATTCACACACAGGCACGCGCGGACAATTACGGACGGCGGGACACGGTTTTACAATAAGTCAATTCGTTTTCAAGCTGCGTAAGAACGGCCTAACGAAAAAAGACCCGGGCTGGATATAGTTATTGCGGCTGTACACGTGAACAGGTCGATCCGGTCGAGTGAGATCAAAAGAGGGACGAAGAATGAAAGATGAAAGGAGAGGGTAGAAAAGAATGGACGAGAGAGAAGGGGAGAGGGGTTTTCGAGATGGGAACACGAAGGGGAGGGGGGGAAAGGCACAGAAACGAAGTACACATATATGACGGTATCGAGCGGTGATAAATGCGTGAAAGAGAGGAAGAGAGCAACGGAGAGCACGAAGAGCCAGAGAAAGAAAGAGAGAGAGGAAGATGTACAATAATCGAACGCGCTCGTAGCGCAGTGTTTGCAAAAGAGCGATATCTAATCGGCGAAATACTCGTCGAAAAGTAAACCCAAGAACAGGGTGGAGCACAGGCACGCATATATCGTCTATCTTCGTTGTTTATGGACGGTTTCGTCCGTTCGTCTCTCGCTCGCTCGTGAACGGGTTATGCGCGCCAGAGAGCCTCTCCTGGCCGGCAATACCTGCCGCGCGCGGTGTACAGCACGCCCCGTTCGGTGTGGACCCGTTCGGTGGTATCTATATACGCATATGTATGTATGCTCACACACGTACGCGTCTTTGGTGTGCATATATATATATATATATACGGGCAAGGTGCACGCGAGCGCACGTACGCACACTCGCGCAATTCGCGCCGGCAAACACGTATTGCCGTATATACCACCACCGAGTATTGTATAATGCAGCCATTGATAGCCGTCCTCTCTTTCACGCACGCGATCTGTTGCAGTCGCTGCAACCCGTGTCCGGTGACAGCCTCCAGTGTCCAGTCTCCCTCCCGGTGAGTGTCCACAAGATTTATTTTCCCAGGCGATATACGGGGTGTCGTCGTGAAAACCGGACGCGCGCTTCCGCCGCGAGAATGAAAAATCCAGCGCGACGCTGAATTCGGATATGATTGCGAGAATAATGATCGTCGGGCGTTTTCAGGATGGCGATCTAAGCGGAAGTACTATTTAGTGAAGCCAGTATGACTTTGTGAATCGGATATTTCTCGTTTTTGTTGCGCGCGTTCGAACATTCAAGCTCTCGTCAGAAATGGAATCGATTGGGTATGTAAAATTATACTAACGTTTCATTATATATTTACTAAGCTAGCGAAACAAACCGCAAGGTCTATTTAAATTGCTAGTTATTAGTTATATATTGTGCCATTATTGTCATTTTTATTAATGAAATTTTTTTAAATGTTTGTAAAATCTCAAATTAATTGGCTAGTTATTAGTTATATTGGCTAGTTATTAGTTATATATTGTGCCATTATTGTCATTTTTATTAATGAAATCTTTTTAGATATTTGTAAAATCTCAAATTAAATGGCGAATTGAACTTAAAGGAAAGTAGATAAATTAATTCCTAATTACTCTCAAATTTTATGTATACAATTTTATTGTACAAACATTCAATTATGCATTCGACGACAAAGATGTTTCATATAATATTTGAGAATTATTAATAAATTGCGCTAAAATGCTCTCCTCAAAATCTCACAGATGAAAAATCTATTACAAAGAGTCCATTAATAATAACAATAATAATGCTCGGACATTCTATGCATCACGCAACACATTACGAGAAATGAACTTTTACTTTACAATCTTCCAGTGGCAATCTCTGTTGATATTATATACAAAGCGGAAGCGAGTTACTGTGAACTTACGTAACATCCAAGTTCCGTCGTCGCTCGCGTAAGATCGACTCGAGACAAGAAGTGTGGCGAGAGCAAACCTTCTTCCCGGCCGCGCTCACGACTTTCGCCATTAATCGCGTATGTCGGGGGTATCGTCGTTATTTTCTCGATCGCGATCTCGCTGTCCTCCCCCCTCCCTCCCTTACTTTCCAGACGCCGTCTTTCTCGCGGGGACCCCGCGGTACTTAACGAGCAGATCACTTTCAGTTGCAGTGTGCACAGCCACGATCAATTTACAAGCGCAGCGAATCGCCACGGGGCCGTGCGAGTCGCGGTATACGGCAGCCGCTACGGTGAGAGGAAACGTTCCACCGATCTCTCGTAGGTGGTGAACGAGTTACGATTTGCGCACCGTCAAGGAAATACTGAAAACGACGGGAAACGATCGGGACACCCGTTGAGTCGTCGATCGCTCCGCCACTCGCGAACGCGCGAAATTGCGTAAACGGAATTGAATTACCGTCCATTGCGAAAACGGGAAATTCGCGGGCACGGTTCGATTTATTGAACGATTGCTGATGGATACCTGCCGAATGGCTGTCATTTTGCGGATAACTAAAAAAATTGTCGACGGTCCTCGTTCCATTGCACGCGGAAGACGATTTATGCTTGTTTTTATCGATGCAGATTATCTTTAATCTCGGTTCAACTTACTCTTCATCTTTTTCTAATTCTTATGCCCGTTTCTACTAACGTAATTTAATTTTAATCTTGGTTCAACTAACTCTTTATTTCTTTCTATATAGTTCTAAAAATTAAAAAAAAATGAAGAGCAAGTTGAAACGAAGATTAAAGTTAATTCACATTGGTGGAAATGGACATTAGATCTAGAAAAAGATGAAGAGTTAATTGAATCGAGATTAAAATTAAAGTACATTGGTAGAAACGGATTCGTATTCTGCTTGTCCGTGTTCGTTGTATGAAATCGTTATGAGAAATATCTGATTTAAATTTAGAGACGTTATGATATCAATACTATTTCCGTTTTCCTAAATCTCGACAATTTTTGGCATAATGATGTAAAGCGAATTCGCGTAATGAGATTTCTCAAACATCGGTTTCCGTTCCCGAATACGGATGTCGAGTTCGGCGCGATATTGACATGCCGCTACCAACAGCAAAACGCTAAGTAAATAGCGCGTAGCTACGAGTACGCCGGTATCGTTATTCCATCTCGCACTTGTCAATAAACCTGTAGTATCAGCGTATCTTCCAAGGCAACGATAAAATGTTATACGGTCTTAGTTCGAGATTTTCGACGATGGGAAAGAGAGCCGCTTAATCTTATCACTCCTTTGTGCAAATAGCACAATGATGATTCGCGATTGCACGTCGCAACGTTCGACGAAGCAAATCCCGGTGCTTCCGCTAAATTTGTTTCTTCGAAAGAAGCAAATAAAAAAAACAGGTTCAGCCGCGGTTAAATTGGGAGCAATCTGGGCGCGACAGCATCACAAAGAAGTCATCTCGATATGCTCGTAAAGCATAACAAAAAATGATATTTTTTTTTACATTTGTTAGTCATAATTCTGGCGCTCTTTCTTGAAGGGATTATTAAAGTCGCTTTACGTGAGAAAGCGAAAAATCAAAGGAGAGAGAGAGAGAAAAGCAGATGCATAGAATCCGTCCATCTTATCTTTGGAGAAAAAAAGAATCTAGAGAGAGGAACGCGACAAAATATGCGACTGTATATGTTTGCGAAATACGGTGCCTACAGAACCAAAATGGAACGACGTGCGATTTTCATCACATTTTTATTTTTTCGAGTACAAAAAAAGTATCGTGTCACCTTCGCGTTCGGAGACACTAACATCAGTCGCCATCATGCATTATTATCGATAACTCAAATTTTTGGCAACGACAAATGCTTTAAGAATATCACACCTCGATGACACACGATACAATCTTGTGCGTTTGAAAATCTCAATTGGCTGCAGACAGCGAGCCAGAATAACAAAAGCGAATTGAAAATATGCAAAGAATGCATTAAGAGTATATACTGTGGATAAAGCTACACAGAGGCAAGCGAGCCGACTTACGGAGAAGAAAGAAAGAAAGAAAGAAAAAGAAGTTGAAACGCGCGCTTTTGTCGGTACGTCATTACGACATCCGGTCACCGTATGGTCGTTAAAGTGACACAAATGGTGTTTCAAAAATATCAAGCAAAATATGAATCCGAGTAGAAATAACATCGCGTCACGCTGTTGTTGCGATGTATGCGATGTCTTTTTGTACTCATTATACTCGATAATTTATTCCTTTAAAAAATCGTGTTATCGCACGTAAAATTATTATTCTCAGCTAAATGAAGAAAATATGTAAATTATATAAAATAGCATATCTCATAATATCCATATTTATTCCAAATTTACATAACATTTATTTATATTTATAGTTTTTGTCGAAACAATTTCAAACATATCTGTTGGG